AAACTCTTTTTGTTTGATTATTATCATTTTTTCTTCGATTTATTTTAATCGTTAAAATATAACAAAATATTTTTCAATTTGAAATGTAATTTCTGTAAGTTTAAATTATTATTAAAATGTAATTAAAATGTAATTTAATTTTTATTATTTAAAATGCAATTTTTGTAAGCTTTTTTTTTTAAATTTATTATTTAAGCTAATTTATTTTTGTTTTATGTGTGTGTGTAAAGTGTGAATCTTAAGTCGAATGCCTAATCATTTATTGCGAAGCTTAGCCTAATACATATGTATGTGCGCTTTCGTTGAGCAGTCTAGAAAGTGTTTCAGTCTCAGTATCCCTCGACCTGGCGGCAGGCGCCATAGCTGTCGCGTCGCTGTCCCGGTGAACAGCGTGCCAGGCCGTCGCGCAATAGGGCCTTGGAGTCAGCCAGGGCATCGCCCAGTAGCTCGAAGCTGAGCAGGGGCTCGCCATCGATCAGATGCTTGGGCTGTATCGGTGTGGGCTCATCGCTCAGTTGCCAATTACGCGGCTGTGCCTCGTTAATTATGTAGGCAGGCACATCGATGGGCGGATACAGGACGCTCGCAGTGCCCGGCTGGGCTTGACTGCGAGCCACATCGGTGCGGTACAGGGGCACGCTAATGGCGCGTGCATTGGAGCTGGCCATGGAGTCGCCAGCCAGGCGATTGGTCTCCAGGAAGCTTGGGCCGCGCAGCGAGCGAGAATTGCGATAATACTGGGAGTTCGCCTGGTTAAAGCCTTCGAGTAGATTGTTGCTGCTGCTGCTGCTGGCAGGCACGGGGGGCAACGCCTGTATTAGCTCCGGCTCCGCTTCCAGGTGATACGGCTTGATCAGCTGCGGCATGGGAATCAGCTGAGGTGGCAACACATCCACCTGCTGGCGATGCAGACGCGGATGCTGTTGCTGCTGCTGCTGCAGTAGCTCCTCATTGGTGGCAGAGATGTCCACATGGTACGGCGTGCGTCCCTCAATAAACTCGGGCAAACCACCTGGCAATCCCGACTGGGGCATCTGCTGCAGTACCTGCTGCTGTTGCTGCTGCTGCTGCTGCAGCTGCTGTCGCTGGTAGAAGGATTTGAGTGCCGAGGCATGCTTACGCTTGCTGTTGCTCTTCGTGCCGCCACGCATGGCGGACTTGCTCAACAGGTCCAAGAGAGTGAAACTGTCCTGGGTAGCGGATGGGATCACCAGTATCATGAAGTTTTCCAGATCGCCACGTATGTTATACTGGCCCTCCTGCCGCTGATCGTAGGTGACTACGCGACGACGCAGTCCGTCCTCAGCCTCCACAGTGGGCAACAGCGGTGGCTGCAGCAGACCTGTCTCCGCTTCAACCGCTGCCTGCGGCGGCGCAACAGCCGGAAAATGCTCCTCCGCTACAGTAGCTGGCGTCTGGCTTTGACTCTGACTCTGACTCTGGCTGGGACTCTGATTCTGGCTCGGGCTCGGTCCTTGATTGCTAGTGGATGGCATTTCAGTTGTGCTGTCACGCAAATAGGACGACTTTGAAGCAAACGCTGATGCGCCGAGCTGCAGCAGCAGCAACAGCACCAGCAGCAGCGGCAGCTGCGTGAAAGTCTTCCAAAACATATCTCAGACAATCTTTTAGAGTTTGAGCACGACAGATTTAACAAGCGCTCAATAAATTCTACGTTCTTAACTCGCGCGCTTCTGCTTCGCAACTGATTAAAAGACAGCAACAACAGCTATAACATCGACGTCGACGTCGACGACGGCGCTGACGTTCGCATCAGCTTCGACGCCAGTTTAGGAACTTTAGCTTTTTTTCTCATCAGAACTGGCTTTTTAAAAGTCCAATTGGAGAACGAGCTTGTCAGATCAGACTATTATACAATCCGATTGCGGTAAGGGCTTTGTAACCTGGAAAAGCTCTTTTTCTACATTTCAATTGTGTATATTATATATGCATATATACATTAAAAATTCTGTAATAATGCGTTCATTTCACCATTCATCAAAAATTTTTGCCTTCCTTTCCAGCTAAGTCTACCTTTCTGTGCTGCAGAAAAAATCGCAGCACTGTTGAATATGAGCGTCGGCGCATGCGCAACTTTCATATTCTGCCGCTGTCGCTGCCGACGTCGCTGCTTTGTTGCTTTCTTTTGCATCTCGTTCTCGTTCTGGTTTTCTGTTCACGTTGTTGTTGCTGCTGATGGTCATTGTTTGTTTTTTTTATTCGTATGTAATCTTCATTTCTGTTGTTGTTGTTGCTGTTGTCGTGCCCATTTCGTGTGCGTGACTTGCGTACGTCGACGTCGTCGCCGCCGCCTCTGCCTCTCGCTGCCACCCGCGCTGCTACGTAATGTTTACTTGTTGTCCACTGGAAATGGAGAAGAGGCAGGGTGGAGTTGGGGTGTTATGGGTTCTCCAAGTGCGCACAGCGATCCGTGAATTAGATTTTCACACCAATTAGGCAATGAGGAAGCATTTCGATATCCAGCTAATCGCCCGAGCACGTACTCAAAACTGATCGATACATTGTTGACAGCTGGACAACTGGACAGCTGGGCAAACCTGCTGGCAGTCGTGGGGACTCTATTAGGTGCAGTTTCTACGCATCAATAAACCAATTAAATAGATTCAATTCAGTAGAACTAGATGAAGCAGAAGTCGCGTTCCAGTTAAATTTATTTATCTATCAGATTAACGATTCAAAGAATTGATTCTATTGTTGCCCCTCGAATACAATTATTATGCTCTGAACCCAGTGAAACTGTGAAATCGGACCATACTGTTTATATAGTTTCAATTTATGTAACATGCTGAAGTGGGCGTGGCAGACGCCCTAAAGTATATACAAATATATACATAATATTGATCACGAGGACGATATGAATTAGCTCTGTTCGTCTCTCCGAGTGTTAAGAGGCAGCTGGAGTTTGTTTAAAAACTCGATCACTTTTATCCTTTAAATGTTATCGATTAAGCCCCTTATCGAAATGTAGTCCTTCAAATTTACAGTTAGCTTGATGATTTTGTATACAACATTGATATTTATTGATTCTATATATTATATTCGGCGGTGGTGGTAAAGGCATTGTAGGTTATTCAGATATCTTATGTTCGAGCTAGGCAGTGTTAGGGTTTCCTGTTTATTTTTTTTTTTTTTTTTTTTTAATTGATTGTAAGAGATCCAAAATGTCTTTGTGCTAGATCAGGTGATGGGATTGGACGGTATCTAGGGTATCTCCTAGCCGGACACCCCGACTAGAGCTTTCATACTGGTTTTATCTCAGTTGTTTTTCTTTGCGTATAAACTAATTTGCTTTCGGATGTTGCTAAATGTTTGCTGTCCGATCTCTAATCGAGATTAGGCGCTCACTCACAGAACTCAGCTGAAACACTTAGCACTTCAATTGTAATTTTCATTTTTTAAAATACGAATTTATTTCTTAAGTGGTTTTTGTCTTTGTTGTTTGCTGTTCGCACAGTTTTCGAGGATAGGGAAGCGACATTTACAGTTAAATATATGCGTGTATAATATAATTAAGCATTCATAGTTTGAAGTTTACATATGCGTGTGTGTGTGTGTTGCTTTAAAATAATAATTACATAGTATGCATTTAAATAATTAGAGGTCTTGGCGGTTATATCTTAGCTAAGAATTGCATGAATTAAAATTTCAATTGGCCCTTTCGCACAATCTCAACAATTTGAACTAAAACAATTTCAAAAATAATACAAAATAAATTAAGCACATGTAAGGTATGCCATTAGATCCACATATACATATACACCTATATAGATTGATGTAGACAATTTACGAGTAAGAACATGAATAATTATTATATGATATAGGAAGCGAGCGTCGTTTCAGTAGTTTCGTGTTGTCCCCCAAAATGACTGTGATGTAAAATAGGATTGAAAACTAAACTGCAGATGGGGATTACTGAATTGAATACTTGGCGAAGACTTGTCATGGATTGATATTTAACTTGCCAGAGATGAGATTTCTCTCATAAATAGATACTAGAAGGAATAATACAATTGAATTTAAGAATACTTCAGATAGCGATAGTAACTGATAATTGAGTGCAACTCAAGCAAACTCTTCGTGTTTTCTGTTACCTGAGCATTTTTGTGTTGTTCAAGAAGCGCTAACTATAATACATACATATATATATATATATATATCTGTATATATCTGTATAATCTCCCGTGATTTGTCATGAAAAAAAAGCCTCCAAGCTGATCGATGCCCATCAGAAATATGCAACTCGATCACGTTAAACAGTTCACCAACATCCAGTTGAGCCTAATCCTGTTTCGCTGTTGTCCTCGGCTGCTCCTCAGGCTGCTCCTGCAGCGTCTTCTGCTGCTGCTGCTGTGTCACATCCAGATGCGTCACGCGCTTATGCACTGTGAAGCAAACCCGATTGAAGTGCTCGCACATCTGATTGACGACGCTGGCGCCGTAGTGCCAGTGGGTCAAGGTGGTCACGATCAGCAGGAGATAGAGCAACGGCCGTTCCAGGACCGGCAGCCACAGGCTCATCAGCAAGGACATCACGAACATGGGCGTCTGCCAGTGCCAGGCCTCGCACCGCGTCTGTGACATCTGCGACACAATCAGGCGGCACTGCAAGGTACATCAAATGAAAAGCCATTGGCTATGAATTGTGGAGTCCATTGTAGCACTAAGATTTATTTTGGCTCAACAATGCGAGCCACATTGGAACAAACAATGTTAATTGTGGAATTAATCGAAAATTCAACTAAAATTGTTATTGGGAAGGGACCATCCCGACCATCCAGCAACAGCTCTCTGGCGCCCTTAGCGCGAACTCCTAAGCATCCTTATCATTGGATCCCCCTCGCGCGGAAATTCAAAGACGCCGCGATCCTTTATCAAGAAGTCGAAGGCCCGATGCTGATACCAGCCGTACATTTGATTCTCCGTCATTGGCTGCGTGGAGACATGCCGCGGCACAGGCTGACTGGCTGACTGACTGGACGGCCTGGCCGCCACATGCACATTCCCATTCACGTTCGCATTCATTTCGGGCAGCAGCTTCCTATGGTATTTCTGGCGCATCTCCTCAAGCGTCTCATCGTCGCAGTGGTAATACGAGCAATCGTGTCGCGCATAGAACTTGGTGGTCAATGGACGCTCAGCATCAAATATCTGGGTCTTCAGTAACCCCCGGTCGATGTTGAAGTGCAAGTCGCGGTTGCAACGCCGACGACGATAACGATGTCTTGGCATCTTCTAGCACTTAGCCCACCTCAAAAAACCTATCAAAATCTTCAATCGAAGCGAATAATAAATGCAAAATTTGGAATCCAAAATTATGTGTGTAGTGTAGTGTATTTGTTGAAAGTAGTTCACTGACTGAGAACGCCATTAAATCGTATCGGACTACTATAACTCGGATGTCAAGGTTTGCATACCCATTGAAATCGGCTAAAGAGGGTGTATTGGATAGCTCTAGGAGTTACAATTGAATTGTTTTACAAATCAATTCCATTCTAATTATATAGACCTCTTTCTTATGTACAACTGTTCTTGAATGATACACCAATACAATACAGTCCGCTTCTACGGATTAGACTGAAGAGTATATCGTCAAGTAATGTTACTTCTCTATTTAGTATTTATATGTAGTTGCAAAAATTGGGAAAATAAATGGAGTAAAATAAGCATTGACAGAAATATAAGGCTATCATTAGGAAAATCCCAATACTTTCCTAATGCTAAAAATAATTATATATTATAA